AAAGGCTGATAGTTTCGAAAGAAACTATTTGGGGCTGCGTCGGTGGGGGTAACGAAATAACTTGGATATATCAACAAAGTTGAAGTGGTAAATTGGCCACCATAACGATTACAAAAGCTGACGTTTCGAGCATTAGCCCTTCGTCGGAGCGAATTAAGGAACAGGCTATTTCCTATAAAGTCAAAGTAAGAATTGTGTGGAGACCTGCTGTTATTGCTGTTGGGTCCTTCAAATGAGCATTTATTCATTCCTTCTTGAATGTAAATCCTACATATCATATTATTCGCATTTGTACATTGTATGACTGTCAACATGAAAAGAAACAGGGAAAAGAGGAGGGACTTCTTCCCTGTACAATCCTCTAACTTTATTTAAAATACTCTGAAATGCCACTATAAACAATCCAAATTCTTTCAACTGGCAAAAGTTAGACACTAAAAATACAATTGGGTTGTGATTTTGGTCAGGTCCAAACCACACCCAATACTTTCAGGGCCACCCAAAAGCTAGTTCATTAACTCACAACAGACTCGCCTTAAAAGAATAAAGGGGATAAGTTTCTAAAGAAACTGTAGTGCTGTGTCAGTGGGGGGAGTATGACAACATAAATTGGTATTATAATAACTATCAAATGAGTTGATAATGCTAGTTTTTGCCTTTAGACCAAATTACACCCCTAATCTTTTACAGCCAACTTCATCACTACAAACTTGACTGATCGTGTAGCCCTTTCATTATCAAGATCTGATTGCTAATTCTCTGCTTTAGCTGTTGTTCATTTACTTTTAAATTAGTTATAATAATCTGGTATTAGATCAGGATAAAAAATTCTATGGGAAAATTCACTACTTGATGAGGGAATTCCGCATTAAATTGCACGCAAAGACCAATATCGCACTCATCGCTTTGCGATTCATGCGATATCGGTTTTCAAGTGCAATTTAATGTGGAATTCACAAGTGAAGTAATGGATTTTCCTTGAATCGCATGACGGAATAAAAATGAGAAAAAAGGAAACAGCATTACTTAAAATTGTTATGCTTATGTAGATGCGAAACAATTTCACTTAGCCTTGTTTTCAACTCGCAATTCTGTGCTGAATACCTTGCTTCATTAACCAATCAGAATGCAAGATTTTATTCAATGATACAATTCTACCTGCAATGTTTGGGTATTCTCATTACTTGTTTGTTGGAAAATTTATCGATAATTTAGAGAAAAATTGCATGCTAATCACTTTTAGGAGTGAAAGGGTTACCACAAAGCAATTTGGTTATATCAACTCAGTTGAAATATGTAAATTGGTCACCGTAACGAATAAAAAAAGCTGACGTTTCGAGCATTAGCCCTTCGTCAGAGTGAATATTTCAACTGAGTTGATATAACCAAATTACCCTGTTACCCCCACCGACGCAGCACCACAGTTTCTTTAGAAACTTTTAGCCTTTACCACAAAGCAGATTTATGACGCTACTCTCTAATCAAATCTCCACATTTTCACTCTGATGATGATTTTTGATTAGGTTGTTGGAAATTGTCAATTACTTCAACCAACAGCTGCATTAACCAGTCAAGTCGCTTGAGAGTTATTCCACCCGAAGTCATGTCAGCTGGAACCTGATCCATGTCACCCCCTCCCCTTAAAAGATGTTGCCCAAAGAAACAAATATTAAAGATCAGACGTACAGACTGAAAATAGGCACTTAACACATCGACACCAGTCGCTAGACATTTTAATTTACCTAATCATTCTAAGCAACATATGGCAATCTGTGGTCTTTCCTTACACTTAGGTAGCACGGAAAGCCGTAAAAATCTTGAACAAAAGCTCATCTTTCAAACCGGCAGTCTAAATCCCACAGGGATCAACGAACGCTTTTCATTCCACTAATTTATTCTTGTTTTTCTCGTTGCCATGTTCCCACCAATAACAGCTCCATTTTCAGCCTTTAAAAGCACACACAACCCACAATTTCTCTATTCGCTCCAACGAAGGGCTAACGCTCGAAACGTCAGCTTTTGTAATCATTACGGTGGCCAATTCACCATTTCAACTCTGTTGATATATCCAACTTAAGTTGAGATATCTTTATTACTAATTTAAAAAAAAATACCTATTTGCTTATGTCAACAAAGTGAAGCATATTGGCCATTTAGTGTGTACTTGTTTAGTTCTCATGGGAGTTTTGTAAACTTGAAAAAATTTATCTTGGTTACTAACAGCACCATGACGACTTTGACAACACAGAAACAAATCATATGGTCAGAACTTGAAATTAATATGTTTGAGTGCATCATTTTGAATTTGAGAGTGTTGTTCATTTCTAACAACAAAGGGAAGTGTTGTTTGTTTCAAATAACAAAATGATGTGCTGTTTATTAGTTATGTGCTGGTTTTGTCCTCACAGACCTTTTGCACTCTATCAATTTGTACCCAGTGTAAATCACTTCATTCCCAACCCGCTGGCTAGATTAGGAGATGACTCTCAGGGGATGACCACCACAGCTGGTCCCTCTCAGGGCAACCGTCACACAGACCAGGCCTCATTAGACCAGATTATCCTAATAGTAAGTGTCAGCATGAAATCTACACTGGAAAAATGCAGTCTTGGGAACCTATGATCCTTTATTTTATTCTGGCCACTTATACTTCCTGGTTTCAGTAATTACTGACTCTTAACATGCTATGCCAGCATCTACATCCATTGATAAACACTTTTTTCACAACATCACAGTTTTCTCATAATTATGATTGTGATTGTTGGGTAATTTGTGCAAACAAAGTCTCACAACATGTTTTCAATTTTTTGACAAAATTTTAAGACCACAACTTGACATACTTTTTGCTTAAACTAGGACTAAATTAAGTAAGCTTCAAATGGTTTTGAAAATGAATAGAGTAAATAGAAGAGCATCTGAGCGATACATTTCTATATACACAAAGTTTGAGGAAATGAAAATTAGAGCCTAGAATGTTCTGCCATTTACATCCCAATAATTACTTCAGTGGCCCTGTATTCTGTAGTTGTTCCATTTTATTTAATAAACATAATTTTTCAGAGCACATTGACACTTGCTATTACAGTGTTCATGAAGTTGCAAGGTATTCTGCATTTACTGAAAAAATGACTGCAATTAATACCATTAGACGAATTAAACTTGAATGGATGTAAAATACATAGAAACTTAACTGAAAGGAGAGGCAAGGAAAGATGTATCAACCAGGCTGAACCAATTACGTGTAACCAAAACATAGCATGGGTAGTCTAAAGCTCGACCACTGCATTGAGCTAGTAAGAAGAAACTGTTGCGTAAACAAGAACACTCAAAAATTCGTTTTTGTTTCTCATTGCAGATCAATCGAGAGCGAAACACTCGGTTATTTTGTTCAATCCAATTCAAGCTAAGTATATAGTTTGAATATGCAGTCACGTTTATAACGTATTCGCTATGGATAACGATTACTTGAACAAGTCTCTCCCTTCGAAGTTAATTTTAATAGTTTATTGACTAACCTCAAAGTCTGAAATACCAAGTGTGCCTAATTCCTTTCCTCCTCGTCTCTTGTAACATGTCTTAATAAATGCATTGTCTCACTTCTCGGAAAAAGTGACTTGGTGGAGGGAATTTTACCGATTGAGACAGGACCAATCAGCAGCAGAGGAACCATCTCAGCATCGGGGAACCCCCTCCCCCACGAAGCACGGGAATTCATTGGTTAGATTCCAGTTGGGTTACGTTACCTGTCCTGACAATTCCTGGGGCCGAGAATGGAAAAACAGGTCTGGGACTGGCCAAAATAACGATTTTCGAAAATAATGCAGCTGAAGTAAAGGGGAACCACCTCCCGCACGAAGCACGGGAACTCGTTTGGTGGGTTCGATTCGGTTGGCTTACGTTACCTGTCCTGATAATTCTTGGGGCCGAGACTGGAAAAATATGTCTGGGACTCGACAATGATGATTTTCGAACATTATCCAGCGATGTTTCACTTTCTTATGGGTATTGTTTCGTATTTGACTTTAAATTTCACGTACAAATGGCTGAAAAGTCCAGTCATTCATCAAGAACTCATAAATTCGTCACAAACAACTGTCGTAGCTTCGTTGAAAGAAGGCTCAAGTTTGTGGTGCATAGATGACACCAAATCTAAACGAATCTGCAAATTTCGATATTTGTGTTACCATCCAGTTCAAGATCACTTCTTGTTCTTTCATGGTCCAGAGACGGTGATCGATGGAGTGCCTGATAACCGCTTCGATCCAGCCCTTCTGGACTTGTCCTCAGTTGACGATCATAACACCCAATACTTCAATTACGTTGACTATCCGGTTTCTGCATTGGATACCTTTTCTAACATCACCGTCATGGATGGCTTTAGCTTAATATTTAACAGATTCAATGCAGACAATATTATGCACGTTGTTCATGACGATCTCCTGCCTCTGTTCCATACATTGAGACAGTTTTCTTGGAGTAGGTCTTCTATTGATCTTGAATATACATTAGTTATGATGGAGGGATGGAATGAAGGCGCCTACTTTGATCTCTACAAGTTATTCACAAACAAACCACCACTGCTTAAAAGAGATCTTCAAAAGCCAAAGCAATTGATTTGTTTTCAGCATGGTGTCGTTGGCATCTCCAAATATACAACATGGTATCAGTATGGGTTCAAGGAACCACAGGGAGCCCTACCTCACACTTCAGTAACAGGACATTATGTGCGGCAATTTGTTATGTTTATTAAAAGGAGGTTGGGGTTAGACAGTGGTTTGATAAATGCATATGATTCTTCTTATGTTATACTTTGTTCAAGGGAACACAACCGTTTAATAACCAATGAACCGGATTTGTCGATGGCAATTGCCAGACATCTCAACAAACAAGTTATTCATATCAGCATGACAATACACGCTTTCAAAGAACAGGTCCAACTTGTAAGCAAAGCCAGTGCACTTATTGGAATGCATGGCTCAATCTTGATTATGGCAATGTTTCTACCACCCGGTGCAAAGCTTATTGAATTGTTCCCATTTGGTGTCAATCCTAATCATTAAACTCCTTATCGTACCCTGGCAGATTTACCATGGATGGATATTGTTTATGGTGCATGGAGAAATGAAATTGAAGAGAATACAATAACATATCCTCATGAAGCACCAGAAGTTGGTGGAATTGTTCATCTCAGTGATGAGGAACAAAAACAGATCATGGGAACGAAAGAAGTTCCAAGGCATCTATGTTGTAGTAATCCCTACTGGCTTTATAGAATTTATCAAGACACCACTGTTGACATAAAATCACTCCTACTTGTTACTGAAACAGCAGAAAACAAGCAAAGAAAGATGTCTTCTAGGCCAAAACCTGCTTATGACCACACACTTTACCCAAGTAAAGTTATCAATGTAACATGTCAACTTCCTCCAGAGGAGCTACAGCCAGCCTTATGGTTCTCATGGGAACCACCCTTAAATATACCTTTTATAGCTGGCAGAGATGTGAGATATGAGGTGTGGATTCAACCCAGTGGACAAGAAAATTATGCTGCATACATACTTGATCTGACAGAGTATACATTTACAGAAAATTTGCTAAGAAACACACATTACAATGTTTGGGTCAGGTGTATTGTTAATGAAAACTCTGGGCCTTTTGGTGATGTTGCACACTGTGAAACAAAATGACACAAGGTAGAAGCAAGTAGGATTGCAAGGCTATAAATTTTTTTTCCAGACTTTGATTTATATTTCTGTGTTACATGGCTCTTCCATTAGACCAAATTGAACTTGAACAAGAATGTTTGAGATATTTATCAAGAATAATGAATTAAATCACAGGGATGTTACAAAGACAAAGTT